TTTGGTCAGTTGGGGTCAGCTGTCCCAGCTGAGTCCCCTCTCAACTTCTTGTGCACCCCCAACCTACTCGCTGGTGGGGTGGGGTGAGAGGCAGAGAAAGCCTTGACTCTGTGTAAGCACTGCTCAGCAATAATGAAAACATCCCTATATTATCAGCAGTGTTTTCAGCACAAATCCAAAACATATCTCCATACTGGCTACTGTGAAGAAAACTAATGCTATCCCAGCCAAAACCAGCACAGAAGCTCAGTTAGAAAGCTGCCGAGTAGAGACTTTAAGGACCTTCATCTCTTAGCCAACCTGCAGACTTTAAATACAACTAACTATCCACGAGACTACTGAGTAAGCAGAAAGTACATGCTACCACAAAAAAGTTGATCCTCTTGCTCAATTTTTTGTACATTTTAAAAGCTCCTGAAAGATGATGATACAGCTCAACGGAAGAAATTAATGATCATACTTTATAAATCACAATATGCACATTCAATCAGGTAGCAGAGAGGCCTTTGAAGGCAACGCCCGAGAGTTTTGGGATACTCAGTACTAGTTTTGGGGTACTACAGCTTGTTTTCCCTATATGAGGACTTTTTTGACTTTGTTTCAGGAAAATTTAATAAGCATACAGTTGAATGCCTAGGAAGACTGTGCTGCATTCTTCTTAGGAGACATTATGAGGAGGTGGTAGGTAACCCCTGGGCTCGCTTTCCCCTCTTCTCTCTTTTCCTTGCCTCAGCCAGTATCCAATTCTACATGTACAGCACGGGTTGCAGGGAAGGATGGAGCAAGTACACAGCAAATCTTGTTGAGTCAACAACATATCAGGTTTTATTTGTTCCTTCTGCTCCCTGGATTCATCTGTTTTGAGCTTCCTCTGTCCCAAGAAGAGGGAGGAGTGAAAGGCTCCTCAAGAGACTCTGAGATACCAGCCTGATTATCCTGGTATGCTGTTGGAAGTTCAAGGAAACCCTGCTGTAAATATTCTCTTTGAGCAGGGAACTAGCTCTTCATGATTGTTCGTAAAATGCCTAGTACAGGTTGGCTGCCGAGATATAAAAAAGTGCAGCAGAAGTTGCAGAGTTTCCAGTATAAATATATAGCGAGGAAACGGTACAGCAGTATAATGCAGTCCAACAGTCTTTCTAAAAGTAGCCCTAAAGTGTCGTCTGCTGAGAAATACAAAGCCCCAGTGGTACAAAATGTTCTGTGTGGGTGATAAACCATCCCCATGTGGCACTCCACTGGCACCAGAGGAGTTCTTGCAGAAAGAGCCTCTAGTTCCCACATGAGACAACTTTGAGTCACCTTCTGAGACTCTGCAGTAGCATAATCATTTCTGAGCAAGAATGACTGTCTTAACTTGTTTTTTTTCTCTTTTGCTTATGTGCACTTCAAGTCACTACAGAAGACATCAATTATAGATGAAGCTCTTAGGTTTCCCTGAGCAGAAGCATAGTTAGTATTGGGTTGTTAATATTTAATCTCTCTAAAATCAGGTTCAAAGCATTTCTGCTTTTCTTTCAAAGTGCCTAGAAGACCTCCTGGTTCATTGGTCCCTGGGTTGCTGTATATCCCAGAAAAACAGCTGAGGCAAACAATGTGGTATTTTGTTCTGGTGCCTTCTGGTAATGCTTAGAAACATGGAAAACATCACAATTATAAAAAAAAATGTTGATGAGATGTGGGCTTGAGGAGACTTCAGTAGAGATTAGTTATAATAGCCAAAATGATTGTAACCAGGTCAAGTTCTTTCAATTCCTCTAAACAGAGTATGTGAAGCTGATATAATCTACGCACTTCCCATTCCTGGACTTTGTATTTAACACTACCACAGCTAACAACAAGTAGAGTGAGCACTATTTTGGGTAATTCTCAGGAGACAATCATAGGCAACAGCTGGGGCACCCCAGGAGGGTCCCCATCTGTGTGAGGTCCTGTTAGGAGCCATGCACTCTGCTTGCAGCATGACTCAATGGCCTCTCCCTTGTCTTGTGATTAAAGGCTACCTGTTGGTGGGTCACCAAGCGGCAAAGAACCATGGAAGAATAGCTTGGCTGCTGGGCAGCTCAACGTGAAAACTAATTGTTTGAATTTCATGCTTAGTGTCCAAGACTTGACAGAGCTGTGTAACCTTAAATAACAGCCCTGAAAAGCAAACATCAGCTTTCTGTTCCAGGTTTGGCCACAGGACTGCCATCTCTGGCCCTACACCACTGCTGCTCTTGGGGTTTCCCCAAGGAGGCAGAAGCAACCAAGCACACAGACCTGTGCTCCCCTTCCAGAGCTGCCATCAGGGACTTTCATATGTCCTTTTGATGGTTTTGCTTGGCTGTTTCCTTCCAGAAGTGAGTCTTCTTGGTGGGTTTGTTTGATTTTAAACAGGAGGAGATCACAGTGGAGCTTTCTGGTAGCTTTAGCAAGAGAAGAGCTGATGACAGGATGAGGACTGACAGAGGACTGATGGACAGAGCCAGCAACAGTGACTTGGCTCAGTCAAGGTCGGTGGTGCTTGGCAGTACCTGCCACTCTGAAGGTCGGAGTGAGGTAGAAGAGGGAGTGGAACACCAGAGCTGGTGTGGTGGAGCAGTTTGAGCTAGCAGCTGTTCCTGGGCTTGGTTTTAGATGATTGTTCTTGCATAGTTGGAAATCTAAGTGACAGGGCAGATGATGGTGCTTCCCTCTATTGGCATTGTGATTAAAGTTGTATAGGGGATATAAACTGAATCAATACCTGACGTGTAGCTGGCTGCCTACAGTCAGGCTGTCTCATGGGTTTCTGCATACTCTGTGGCAACCAGACCAAGGGTCTGGGAGACGTGATGGGTGCTCAGGTTTGCACTGGGGGTGAAGCATATCTTACAGTGCTGTGTCACCTGGTGCCACGGCCCCATCCCCGTCACACCACCCTGTGTGCCAGTCCTGAAACGGCGCGTCACAGAAGAGGGGACATCTCTGGAACTTCTTTCCTAGCCTGGGTACCTTTCCACGTGGGGAATATTTATTTAACACAGCTTTCTTCTATTATGTTAGCAATTGTTCACTGTCAAAATAGCAACTGAAGCTATTTGGAGGCTGTTGTAGCTGCAGCCTGATAATGCGATACTCCCCTCTGGCCCCACGATGTGTTTGCCAGCGGCGTGAAGAGCGAAGCTGCTACCTCTACTTCTCCTCTCGAGTTCCCTCAAAACCCTGTCGTAGTTTTCCACAGGGAGGCCAAGATGAACTTACATGTCTGCAGCTCTTAATGTCTTGGTTCCTGATTCACACATACTCAGTGTTGCCCTGTTGAAGAAAGCTGGGGAGGCTGGCCAAGTTCCTTACTGTGAGACTGAGGCAAAGGCCTCTTTTCTACCGTCTGGTGGCCCAGCTTTCACCTCCGGGTGCAAGCCTGGTGAGGAGGGATGTCACTCTGGAAGGAGATGAGACCAGCACTCCACAAGAGATCGCAAAGATTATTAAACAAGGATTAGTCCAGGAATG